TAATCTAACCAAATCTTATATAAATAAATACTATTAATTTTTTTAAGTGACGATGAAGTGTTCAAAGGCATCAAAAATATAATCGGAGGACACTTTCTTGGCACTTGGGCCACGTACTCGGATGTTGACCCCAAGGTCCGCGAACTATGGTGGAACCTGTTCAAGGTAAAAATAAATGAATGTTCCCTCCCTGATTGTATTGGCCTAATATATACCTACTGATTAATTAATCCAATTTGTTTTAATAAAGGGTCGCTATCGTTGGACTCACGCAAACGGTGCCGATATTCTTAAAGCCTACAATGCTAGGATTTCGACCTGGCTTCGCGCCACTTTTAAATGTGCGCGAAAAAGTGCGAAAAAGCCTAAATGGGTTTCGGATGAAGTGTGGTCCAACCTTTGTCGCCACTGGTCTTCTGATCCGAAATTCTTGGCCAGAAGTGAATCCGGTAAGAAAAACCGGATGTCCGAGAAGGCCTTGGAGATGCAGTGGCACGGGGGGTCGCAAATCTCAGAATGCCGATAAAGAAACTCTTGTAAGTGCTATTCAAAAAACCTTACACCATCACAATCCTTCATTATAAAAATTTACTTAAGTCTTTTTCACACCATTTAGGCTGGTCCTGAGAAGAAGAGGGTTGGTGTTTTCCGGCTCGTCAAGCATTGCTGGACGAAGCACGGCGAGGAATCTGAAGCCGGTCTGCCACCCCACCTCGCTGACTTGGAAGTATGTAACATCATATTTTGTTATTTAGTAACATTTCAAATCTAAGTATGTAGCATTTAAAAAATATTTTTTGAAAATGCAGACGAAGTACAACGAATCCGTTGACAGGCAGCGTGCGGCACGAGGCTTGACCCAGGAGGACGACCTCGATTCCGATGCGGATGATGAGGCGGCCATTGAGGCGGCCGGGGTTTACAAGGGCCGGGTTCCGTGCTTGGGGGCCGAGGGGCAACGGATTTTGTATGATCGAAGCACCGGCGCTTCCTCTTCTCGATCAAGGCGGGGAGAAGATCCTCGTATTGCTACAATGCAGCGTGAACTGGAGGAGCACGAACGGCGATGGGAGGAGCAGCGGAAAGCAGATGAGGCCACAAAAGCCCGATTGGAGGAGATGGAATGGTTCATGCGTGCCGGATTCCAGCCTCCGCAACAGCCTTTTCCTCCCCCGTACGTATTCCACCCTGAGCAAACTCCTCAAGTTCCGCACATGGGCGGTATGGGATTTTCCCCCAACTCCGGATACGGTGGCATGCCTATGATCTCCCCGAATTTCGGATCTATGTCCTTTGATTTTGCGAGGTCATCCGGAGGAGGTAGTGGTCCACCGAGCCATGGACCCTGAGGAGGACCCCGAGGAGGACCCCGAGGAGCACCCCGAGGAGGAACCCGGCCTGACCCCGAAGACCCCCCCGTGAACCCAGATGAGTTTCTTGTTGATGATGAAGAAGAAGAAGAAGAAGAAGAAGAAGAAGAAGAAAGTCCTAATTTTTTTCATAATGGAGTCCCACGAAGGGACATGTAATCATCATACATTTATACTTTGTTGTATGTCAAAACATTTAAAAGTTTGTCACAATATTTATTAAGTTTGTTGTATGTCTTTACTCTTTAAAATGTAATTTTAAATTTAAAAAAATAGAATAATATTTTCAATAACTCAATTTGCAAAAAACATTTTTAAATTTAATTTGTAAAAATACGTATAAAAAAGTAATTTTTAAATTTAATTTGTAAAAATACGTATAAAAAAGTAATTTTTAAAAACAACTTTCAAAAAAAAAAAATGGAATTTTTTTTTTTAAAAACAAAAATAGTAGTCACGGCCTTATCCGTGACTACAGTTAATTCGAAATTATTATTTGTTTTTAATTAAAAACATTATTTTTTTAAAAAAAAAAAAGCTTAGTCACGGTCGACAACCGTGACTAATTTCAAAAATTTAGATTACAGCCGCGGGCGGTCTTTTGAAAATTTTGAAAATTTGAAACATTAGTCACGGCCCACAGCCGTGACTAATATTTATTTTTTTTAAAAAAAAATTATAGTCACGGTCACAAGCCGTGACTAACACGTCGGAGTGGGGTTTCCGGCATGTTAATAGTCACGGTCATGGACCGTGACTAACCCGTGACTAAATTTAGTCACAGTTATGTGGCGGTGACTTCATTTAGTCACACTCATTAAGTCACGGTTTTAGTCACGGTCAACGACCGTGACTAACTCATTTAGTCACGGAATTTTTGAACTGGCGTCCGTGACCACCTCCGTGACTACACGCGTGTTTTTTTGTAGTGGACGGAGGTAATATAATATAATAATGTTAGTATATGTTGTAGTGCACGTCTCATACCAAATGATATCACCTATGTGTAATGTAAAACAGAACAAAATGATACGCAGTATGAGTTACAACATTGTAGTAGTGTAAACAACTACGGAGTAAACAATAACTGTAGTCGTAACATATATTGTGTTGATAAACACAAATTTAGTTTATTAAATATAGGTAAATGGTGACAATTTTGTTTTGAGCACATCCACAAATGAACATACCCCCTCAATGTACTTCAAGGTTCTTTGCTTGTCATCTTGTATAAGAAATATCAAGGCCTGAGAGCTTATTAAAATGCATAAGTATTGAAACCCTTGCGATCTTCCAAAGCTTTTGGCATTCCCCATTAATTTGTACGTACCCCATTAGTCTAAGAGTAGTGTGGATTAATCTCGTACACTCCCTACAACATTTACAGTGGGTACATCGAAGTAGATGAATCAATGTTAATTGCATTATAATTATTTATAGTTTTTAATACTCATATAAGAAAGCTAAGGCATCAAATACATACCAAATAGTTCAATTCAGTTCCAACAAGTTGGTTTGCATTAGCAAATTGAACAAATGGGCGGAAGTTGAGCATTCTTTTTTGGAAAGTTGTCTTCAAGAAACTCTACCATGGTGCTCCGCGATCCTATAATAGACTAGGATCTTAACATGCATCAACATGTATTTCATAGTCATAGCGTTAGATGACACAATGAAGTATCGAGGCTATAGATATTTCCTTCCACAATACATTTATTGGATTCCAACTTCCAAGATTCTTCCAAATAAGAAATAAGTTTGTCACGTCAAATTAAGTGAGTATTTGCAATTGCTTCAACTTTAAAAAAGTGAATTTTTAAAGTGATTTTGGGAAAAGTGATTAATAGTAAAAGTTGGTAGTGTTTGAGAAAAAAGTGATTCTGGAAAAATAAAAGTTGGTAGTATTTGGTAAAATAAGTACTTTTTGTGTAATAGAAAAAGTGAGAAGCAGTTTAAAGTACCCTTTTACCTGCTTCCAGCTTTTAGCTTTTAAGTGATTAATTTAAGCAGAAATTGTCATTTGAAAACACTCTTTTCAACTTTTTTTAAGCCAAAAGCTGAAAAACGCTTTTTTTAAGCAAACCCAAACATGTAAAAAGCATTCTAATGTTAATTCTTGTTTTTGAATGTCGACACAACTTAAGAATGGATGAGGTAGCGGTCAACTTGTCCTTGATAGCACGTGGACTTTACTGAACATCTTCTCAAAAGTAAAATAGTTAGGGAGTGTTTGCAACTGCTTCTACTTAAAAAAGCACTTTTGGAGAAGTAATGAAAAAGTGATTAGTAGTAAAAGTTGATAGTGTTTGAGAAAAAAATGATTTTGAAAAGTAAAAGTTGATAGTGTTTGGTAAAATAAGTGCTTTTTGTGTAATAGAAAAGGGAAAAACACTTTTCACACGCAAGCCGAGAAAAAGTAAAAATTAGAAGTGTTTGGTAAATAAGTGCTTTTTTAAACCAAAAGTTGAGAAGTGCTTTTTTTTAAGTTATTGCAAACACTCCGTTTGTAATACTCGTAGAATTTTCTTTTTGGCCAATAGTAAAATACATGGACGGTAAATAAAGTTTTACTCAACTATATACGGAGTATGATTTACTACAAAGTTGTCTTCTCTGTTTCTCATGGAACTCCGATTGATACTTGATGATGATGCAAGTATTTATAGTGGAGTAGCTTTCTTAGTTTATCAAAATCGGATCGCTTTCTTTCCACTAGCCGATGAAACCGGAACAAATTCTATAGGAGCAATCAACATGCAGGTAGAGTCTACTTTTTTGCGGGATTATCAATTCGGCGTTTTCAATTTGAATCGTCCGTTTCTACGTCTCATCCCATTATAGCTTTGAGCTTTATGATTGTAATGTTTCTTGTCATCTTTATCAATAATAATTAAGTTATTTGTTTAAAAAAAACTAATTGTCATTTATCAACACTCCCCAACATTAATATAGGGATAAAATAAGTGAAGAATTAATATTCAAGGCAAGAAGTAAGAAAATAATTCACAAATTTAACATTCAATAAGCTTTAAGAGCAAAACCAAGAAATGAGAGTTCAGCTAGGCATGACAATGGGTCAGGGCGGGGCAGGTATTGCAAGACCCGGACCCGCCCCGTAACTTGGTGGGGCGGGTCCGCCGCGCCCTGTGACCTGCACGGGTTCAATTATTAATTAGTTACATTAATAATTGAATATATGTATTAAAATTCTACGTAGTATATATAAAGAAGACATTGATAATCTATCCGTCGTTCATCTCATTCTAATATATATTCATATATTATAAGATCAAAAAATTTATGATTTATTGTATACATTCATATGTATGTTGAAGTATATTTGTAGTATAATTTAAGAAAAAGTATTTATACTTACTTATATATTGAGCGGGTTAGGGTGGGGCGGGGCGGCACGGGTCAATTCTAATACCCGGACCCGCCCCATTGTATAGGCAGGGCGGGGCGGACCCGCCCCATTTGCAAGACGGGGCGGGGCGGGGCGGACTCGCCCCAAATGTCTCGGGCCAGGGCGGGTCATTGTGGGTCGGGTTTTTTTGATATCCCAGGGAGACTAAATAATGCTAGAAAAATATAAAGAAAACAGTATTCTTACTTGAGCTTAAGTATATGGAAAAGAGGATACCCAAATGGGAAGGAAATGATGTGTATTTATAGGTGTTTTGGTGAGATTGGTCTCATACTAGACCGAGTATAGAGAATACTGGATACCCGACCGGGTATCTCTGGAGCATAGCTACGAAAGTGCTGAAATCTATTCATACCCTGATCCAAGTATATGACAAATCTCATTTTTGCACGTTCTCTTGTTTTATTTGATCTTGTTTGAGGGTCAAGCAAACAATACATTTACAGGTGGGATCATGTTTGCCCTTCCCGCTGGGTGGTTGGATGCAAACGATGCAAGTGCAACCAAGTCGATGCCGGGGATGCTTTATGGTAGAAGGCTCGCTAGTAGGGCTGAGCAAAACCCGATCCGACCCGAAAAACCCGATATTTTTTTCGGATATTATCCGAACCGAAGTGGATATCCGACTCGAAAAACCCGAAACCGAAAATCCGATTAGTATTGGGCCTAGACCGGGTGGCGGGTAGGGTTTGTGAAATCCCAACCCGACCCGCCCGAATATACGAAATATATGTTAGTGTGTACTTTGAATATTTAAATTAATACTTGTGTTCAATTATTTGTGTAATTATTTGTGCAATTTGTATTAAATTATTTGTGTAAATTGAATGTGTAGTGAACTAGTGTGTACAATTTTTGTTAAAGTAGCATTCCAACACTTTAACTATCCAATTATAATGTGTTTTGATATAACCAAAATATCCGAAATATATTAAAGAGTATATATTAAATTATGTAGTGTGTACTTTGAATATGTTAAATTAATAATTGTGTTCAATTATTTGTGCAATTTGTGTTAAATTATTTGTGTAATTTGGAAGTTTCGTGCACTAGTGTGTACAATTTTTGTCAAAGTGGCATTTAAACACTTTAATTATCCAATTATAATTTTTTTAATATAACTGAAATATCCGAAATCCGACCCGATATCCGATAATATCCGACTTAAAAATATCCGAAATACCCGATTTGAAATATCAAAGGTTCGGGCCTAGTATTTAAATTAAAAAACCCGAAAGGGTTTAGGGTTCGCAAACCCGACCCGCCCGAACCCGACCCGTGCACACCCCTACTCGCTAGCCCCCAAGTCGCCACCACCGCAGCCAATGGTGTCATTTCCCATAACTGCAATACAGGCCAATGCATCTAGGCCAGCATAAGACTTCCATACAATCTTTGTTTCTCCTGGGATTAAATAGAGAGGAAAAGAAAGTTACGGGATCAATTGGGGGAAAATCGCCAAACTTCGCTATCATCTAGCTACAGATTTATACAACACAAGAGGGTACATGGTAAATTTGGAAGTAGACTTCCATACATCGGGGTGATTTTACTTATGGGGGGAGTGGGCATTTCATTTACTTGGTTTAGAAGTTTTTATTTCATTTCTCTTGTAAAACAGTCATCTCGTGCAATACTAAAATCTTTTTTATTGAAGACAAGAACAAGGGATAATGACAAAAACATCATTGTATTACGAGAAATTGAGATCATATATATATGGAATTCATATCCTTGTTGCCAGGGGAATGCCAGCTCTAAGGAATGAATCAAGTTGTTTTTTATTATCTCACTTGAGGCAGAACACGAACATCTGGAAGCAAATGTCCACATAGTGAGTCAAAGAAGCAGACAACTTTTGCGTTCTTATTCTCTAAAGTTTTATTGTAAGTTTGTAACTAAACATATATCATAGTTATTTTCTAGCATAAGATTAATAAATAGAGATAAAGGGTGAATTCCCCCTCAAAAAGAGAGGGCAAGTTACGGAATATACATTAACTATCCGACCGGAACGCAATTAAGAGGACAATGATGATAATGTGTATATATGTTTCCAATCTAATCATCTAAAAGTGTGTTTTGTATAAAGACTAAGAAATCTAAAGATACTATTTTTGTTAAATTAAGAACATTAATCATATTTCATATTCCTTTGCATTTTCTAGGTAAAAAGGAAACACAAGAAAATACATTTTCTTAGAATCCCCCCTCTCTCTAAATAAGAGGGCAGAAGTAAGATGGCAAAATGGCTAAAAGGGGCCAAAACTCCGAATTAGACTTTGCAACTGAGTCTAGAGAGATGACATTTATCATATATTACAATATATTTGCATCATAGATTTTCTTACCCAGATGATGGAGTGCTGAAGACCACACTCTTTAAAAAAACAGTGGTTCCTAGTTTGCAGGAATATTTTGTTCTTCCAATTAGTGCCATATGAGGGTATCAAGAAGAAAAAGAATATGCAGTTAGTTGAGCCCGAAATATATGAGACTTACATCATATTCTTCAAAGTCACAGTCCTCAATCACAACAATGGTTGGATTAACATTTGGAGGTGGGCGGAGCAAATCCCGAGCTTCTTCACAAGTGATCTTCAGTTATATAGCATCTTCATTGGGTAGCAAGAGCTTCTTATTTTAGCACCCTATTTTCTTAATTTTCTTTTCTGGAACGAGCACTTTTATTTGCAAGTAATCATCACTTTCTTTTCCTCCATTCTTCTCAGGCTTTGGAAATTCAGAAGCATGAAAACTATTTTTTTTGAAAGAAAAAGATATTCCCTTGTTCCCGGTTTAAGTGTCTTACCAATGTAATGAGGTATTAAATTTTTGAAGTTTCATCTTAAAATGTTAACTTGTGAGGACTGAGGAGTACCACTAGGACAACCTTATATGATGGCTTGTATCTCTATAGTTGGTTATTATGAGAAAACGTAACTTTCGATGTAAGATGGTGGCTCATTGGAGAAACCAATCTTAAACGATAGTCCTTATAGGGGCAGCAGCACAAGGCCCTAAATGCTATGCTAGTAAGTATATTTTTATTGAGCCAAAATTGGATAGCTTAAAATGAGTCAAGATTAAAATTATTTAAGTTAAAATTTTATAAAAATGTATGAAATATAAGAAAAAGAGTTACGTGTGGAAAAACTTCCTCTAAAGCTCTGTAAAGCAAGTACTGACATGACTATTCAAGTAGGAGAATATTGAAGTAAATAAGCCAAAAAGGAGTTATGAAGGAAACGGTGACTGGTAGAAGATGACATACTGTGGTACGGTTTTCAGTTGGAGCAGAATCTGGACTTTCAGGAGAACATCCACCATTGGCAATGGTTGCATTTCGAGAATCCTGTTTGCAATACATAAAAAACCATTTTCATAGGAATAGGATTCTATGAAGTTAAAATTTTGAGACTGATTGTAATTAAGTTTGATCTGAACACCGACCTGCGCTTCAGCATAACTCACTGCCTTCCGGAAGCCCATAAATAGTTTCCTGCCTGGATCTATTCTACTGAAAGTAAGTGTTGCAATAATGCAGAGTAACATGTAGACTTTGGAAAATTAATAATTTACTCCCTCCATCCCTAAATAATCAACTCACTCTTTTCAGTTCATCCCAAATTTATAGCTCATCCTTATAAGGAAAGCAATATATGGTCCATATAATTGTTGGGATTGGAAAATTCTTCTATTCAATATCAAGAACAGAATTACAATAGGAGGAGCAAACTCTCACACTCAACTATTACAAAAAACCAATCCTCACCAATACACTTCTACTCTAAGTGTATTTTCACTCTTCACACACTTTTCTCACTTTCTAAACTGATGATATGAACAACAATAGAACACTCTATTTATAGGCTACTTTGGAGACAAGAGGAAGTTGCATCCATGCTTCCATAGTTATCTCCATATCTTCTCCCATCTTTATTTGTTGGAGACCTCCTTCCAAGAAGGTGTGAGATGCCTCTTGGCAACTTCCAAGAAAGAAGGTGGAAACTCCCTACAAATCTCCCCCTCCACCTTTTTCTTTATTTCTCTCGTTCCTGCGATGCTCGCAGGCTCCCCCTCGCTAGCAACAAGTATCCATTCAGATGTAGAATACTTTCTCTGTGGAACTATGCCTCGCATAGAACGTCGAACATGAGTACCTTCAGCTTCGTCTTCAGATGAAGGCTCCCCCTGCTGAGGAATATCATCACTGTGAATATCATCATCACCTACTGAACCATCACTCTCATGTTCAGTAGTATCATGCATCTCCTCGTCACTGAGAGGAATGTTTGATGATACAGCCACTTCATCTTCTGGAGTATGTTGTTGGCGGATTATTGGAGCACACCCATGAAACTCGTTTTCATGAAATACAACATCTCTGCTTCGTACAACTTTCTTCACTTCGGGGTCCCACAACCGGTATCCGAATTCTTCATCTCCATACCCGATGAAGATGCATGGGTTTGACTTGAGATCAAGCTTCTGTCTCAACTCCTTGGACACATGTGCAAATGCCTTGCACCCGAACACTTTCAAATGAGAGTAAGAAACATCTCTTCTTGACCATTTCTTTTCTGGCACTTCAAAGTTTAAAGGAACAGAAGGTGACCTGTTTATAAGATAACAAGCTGTCAGCACAGCTTCACCCCAGAATGGCTTAGGTAGTTTAGCCATACTCAGCATGCAACGAACTTTCTCCATAATGGTTTGATTCATTCTTTCAGCTACACCATTGTGTTGTGGAGTTCGTGGAACCGTCTTCTCATGTCTGATTCCGTATGCAGCGCAATATGCTGAGAACTCTCGGGAAGTGTACTCTCCTCCATTGTCTGAACGTAGACACTTCAGCTTCTTCCCTGTTTCTCTTTCTACCATGGCATGAAATAATTTGAAGCGATCAAACACTTGATCCTTACTCTTCAAACAATAAGTCCATACCTTTCGTGATGCATCATCAATGAATGTCACGAAATACCTGCTTCCTCCAAGTGACTCCTCTTCAATGGGTCCGCATACATCAGAGTGTACAAGACTGAGTAACTCTGAATGGTTCTTCCTGGTAGAACTGAAGGAAACCTTGTGTTGTTTCCCGAATAGACAGTGCTCGCATGGATCTAGGGCAACACCTTTGCCCATGGAAATGACTTCCTTCTTTGCAAGAGTTGTCAATCCCTTCACGCTCAAGTGGCCGAGCCTCCGGTGCCACAAGTTTGGTGATATCTCTTCTTCAACAGCATTAAGACTTGGATGACACAACTTTGCATGAGTTTTATACAGAGTACCACAAATATGGCCTCTTGCAACAACCAAGGAACCTTTAGATAACTTCCACGTACCTTCTTTGAATCTGTTAAGATATCCTTGTTGATCCAGAGCTGTACCGGAGATAAGATTCAATCTAAGATCCGGAACGTGTCGAACATCTTTCAACACAAGTGCGCATCCGACATTGGTTGTTATGTGCACATCACCAATGCCAACAATCTTCGAGAAACTGGTGTTTCCCATCTTCACAGCTCCAAAGTCCCCGGACTTATAAGATGTGAATAAATTCTGGTGTGGAGTGGCGTGAAATGATGAGGCTGTATCAATCACCCACTCAACATCATGAGTACCTACGTGTAAACATTCTTGTTCACCATGTGTAACAAGACACGCATCTGATGACAAACTAACCATAGTCACACCATCTTCTTGGCTAGTATTTTGACTCGTCTGTGGCTGCTCTCGTAGAAACTTTCTACAATCTCTTTTTCTGTGCCCATAATTACTACAGTAATTGCAATATCCTTCAAACCAAGTATTGTTTTCACAGGACATACCTCGTTCTTGTGATCGGCCGCGAACTTGAGAATTTCCTCTGTTTTGACCTTGGCCTCTACCTCGACCTCGACTTCTTCCTCCATTTCTGCCTCCCCCTCGTCTGTTGGTTTCTGACACGAAGGCATATGATTGTTCAGTCCCGGCTTCTTTTCTTCGGGCTTCTTCGTTCATAAGGGCATCTGTGACCATCTGCATAGTCACTTTGCCATTGGGAGCAGAATTGCTGAGAGTGACAACAAGAGTCTCCCAGCTGTCAGGTAGAGAGCTCAAGAGTAGTATCGCCTGCTCTTCATCTTTGAGAACCCATCCGGTGGTGCTCAACTGATTCACAAGATCCTGGAATTGACTGGTGTGTTCTGACACCGAAATACCACCTCGTAATTTGTGGTTTACTAATCGCCTCATTAGTAAAGTCTTATTTCGTGCGGTTTTTGCTTGATACATGCTACCAAGCTTCTCCCATAGTGTGTAAGCACTTTGTTCTTGCGCAACATGGTGGAACACACTATGATCGATCCACTGCCGAATTTGTGCGACAGTTTTTCTATTCATTTTTGTCCATTCTTCATCCGTCTTTTTATCCGGTTTCACGCCATTATTATCAAGAGGATCGGCTAAATCCCTCAAATTTAGCAAATCCTCCATCCGAGGCTTCCACATATTGTAATTTGTGGAAGTGAGCGCAATCATGGTGTCCGATGATGATTTATCCATAATAAAACGCTCAAAATATCTCGTACCTTATTTTCGGAGCCGAATTTGGACAAACGGAGCTCACCGTTGGATCCGGAATGGCCGAAAATGGCAAGACCCCGGTCTGACTTCGTCCAAAACCGGTCTGAAAATGGGTGAACCGGCCTCCACAAGTACGAACCGGTTCGGTCCGGTTCAGGCAGCAGCCCAGTGAGCAGACCAGCAGGCGGATGACGTGGCAACAGCTGGCTCTGCGCTGGCGCTGACGTGGCGCCACGTGTCACTGATGTGGCGCTGACGTGGCACCCAGAGGATGGCTTGCACGGCTAATGTGGCGGATGACGTGGCGCTTACGTGGACTGACGTGGCGGCTGACGTGGCGCTGGCATGGCTCGTCTTCTTCCTCTAGACTGCGTGATGACGCAATGATGACGCAGGCAGTTCTCCGGCGCGTTTGGGCGGCGCGTACGGCCTCTTCCGGTGGCCAAAAAATTCCCCAAAAATACCAGATTTCTCGTCTCGACGAGACGAATCTAACGGTACGATCAGATCGTGATTCCGAGCAACTTGAAAAATCACGATTTTCTAACCTGTAGAAATTTATCTGAAAATGAGAAAACAGTGTATGAAAACTCAACCTCGCTCTGATACCACTTGTTGGGATTGGAAAATTCTTCTATTCAATATCAAGAACAGAATTACAATAGGAGGAGCAAACTCTCACACTCAACTATTACAAAAAACCAATCCTCACCAATACACTTCTACTCTAAGTGTATTTTCACTCTTCACACACTTTTCTCACTTTCTAAACTGATGATATGAACAACAATAGAACACTCTATTTATAGGCTACTTTGGAGACAAGAGGAAGTTGCATCCATGCTTCCATAGTTATCTCCATATCTTCTCCCATCTTTATTTGTTGGAGACCTCCTTCCAAGAAGGTGTGAGATGCCTCTTGGCAACTTCCAAGAAAGAAGGTGGAAACTCCCTACAATAATTTCTCTCTAAACAAATCTCAACTATTTAGGGACTCTATTTAGGGATGAAGGTAGCATTAATTTTCTTAAACTTTGGTTTTCTTAAACTATGTGTTCAGTCAAAGTGGGACTCTATTTAGGGATGAAGGTAGCATTAATTTTCACATTAGGCTGATAAAGAATTTAAAGGCATCTATGGGTACACTTCTAGTTTTGCTACACTAAAAAAGCTTATAAAGTAGAAGGTAACAGCAATCTAATGGAAGTGGCCTCAATTCACTACCTTTTGGATTAATTAATTAGGGTGCAACTCACATGATCTAATAAACTACTAGTACTAGTTTTACTGATATGGCTTTGAACTTTCAAGTTATTAATTTCTAGAGACTATTGTAATGCTTATAGAAAATTAATGCACCCGAACAGGGTAGGAAAATGAGACCTAAACCCAGTAGGAATAGGAAGTTTAAAACTTAAACCTATTCTGAATAAGAAACTTTAATACTACTGCTAAAAGTCAAAACTATAAAAATGATATTAATTTCCTAAAAAATGATATTACTATTTCTGTCTTTTTACAAGTACATACACGGTAAGTAGCAAATTGTTGAGACTTTCTGTCTACTGAATAAAGGGCAACCCGGTGCACAAAGGCATCCCTGCAAAGACGAGGGGCTGGGGAAGGGTTCTACCATAAGGGTTTATATGGGGAAAGCCTTCCCCTGTCAAATTTTTGACAAGAGGCCACTCCACAGACTTGAAACCGTGACTTCTCGGTCACATAGCAACAACGTAACACCTTAACCAGTGCGCCAAGGCCCCCTTTCGCTCTTTGTCTACTGAATAAGAGGTAAAAAATGTAACAAGAAAAACACTCAGAGCAAATAGCAATAACAAACTCTGGCCAAGATTGTAACTGCTAAGTGTAAGATGATACCCGGAGGATCCATAAAAATGTTTTGGTAGTGATGTGGCAAATAGAACAAGTGAGAACCTGATTTTTTTATTTATTGAAGATGCCCTTAGAGTGCTAGTCCCAGCATAACCATTGCAATAACATGGTTTGTTGGTTTTTAAAACATACATTGGAGTAAATTTTATCCTTCTGCCCCTTTCGCCTGGATAAGTTCATTAATACTTTTTTATGCATTTAAATACTGCTCAGAAGTCAAAACCATCATTGCAACATATTTACCTGTACCGGTAATATAGTGTGACCTCCCAAACACCTTATGCCTCCAAAGTCCATGTATTCAAACGGATATTTTGACACGATTCACCCACAGTGAATACGCTGCCATGTGTGATATCCAGTTAGAGAAAGCAAAAGGGGAATGAAATTGTGCAGTTTTTACAACTCACCCAAAAGGGGAATACATGCCTTTTTACAAATTTTGCACTCCATCCAGCCAGATTCATCCGAGTGGAATGTCTCGCAAAAAGCTACCTTTTCATATGCAGATCTAACTCGCATCCATAATACAACTAGAAGTCAGGATTTAGACCTGGGTTATTTACTCGGCGAGTACTCGGTGACCCTACTCGGCCTATGACTTTGCAGAGTAGCACATTACTCGGCCCGAGTTATTATTCCGAGTTACTCGCCGAGTACTCGGCGAGTTAGCCAACTCGTCAGTGGGTCAAAATGGCGATTTACTCGGGAGTACTTGGTATTTAAAAAAAACATTACCTCCGCTTGGGAAAAAATTAAATTGAGATTATCCTCTGTGTTGTTTCTTATTCTCCCTCATGTTGCCTATTATATTTTTCTCTGTATACTGTAATGAACTCTAAAAATTTTGTATTGTTCTTCGTTTGCTTGTGCTTCTTAAACTGGTGTTTTCATTGTACATTTTCAAGTCTTTGGCCAACTAAAGTGAATGTATTGAATGTACCCCTAAGACTAGAGTTTCTGAATGCTGTAATAAAATCTCTTAATTGAAAAGGTGAAAAATATAGCTTAGCGAAAAAGAATCATGTTTGGTTTTGGGTGAGTTGCAATTTTCATTTAGGGAACTACCTTTGAAGACTCGTTGTTCGATAGGTGCCACTTTGAAGTTACTTTGAAGTTCTTCAATCGGAATAAGAATAGGTGCCAAAAAACTGCAAAAAATATTTGCCTTTTCTTCCACTGCTTGTGCTTCTTGAAGTTGTATTATGGTATTCTATACGTATTATATGCATTTTAAGACAATTTCTATCCTTTTATTCACTTCTAAACATTTTAAGACAATTTAAAGACAATTTTATTACTATATTTTAAGACTACTATATTTAAATTTATTTTTTATATTTAATTAATACTAGGCCGAGTAATCACCGACTAATCCCGAGTAATCGATCCTACTCGCTACTCGGCCCTTGACCGAGTAGCGAGTAAACTACCTAGATTTAGACACAGAAGTTACATAACAATAAGATCACAATTAGGCAGCACTATTAGTAGTATGTTTTGTACAAGAGGAGCGGGGTTAGCTACTTGATTTTGGAGGTCCTCTTCAACATGGCAAGATGCGGCACCCACACTATATGTAATATAAAAAACCTTAGAAAGAACTATAAGTTGAAAATTTTAACGAAGGTGGGTTAAATGCAGCACAATAATGCATGAGGAAATGAAAAAAGCCTATTTTTTTAGATTATAAACAGACTTTGGGGCCAATATACTCAAAGAATGTTAAGTCTTCTTTTCCCTAATGAATACCGGTTCCTTATTTCCTTGCCTTTGGAATTTGGCCTTTGAGGTATGATGGAAATCAAATCAGCTAAGGAGGGTTGGTGGTATAAATAAGGGAGAATTTGACTTTGCACCCTATGTTTTGGGTGATATTTGACTTTGCACCCTACTTTCAAAATCATTAATGTATGTACCCTAATTCACTATAAAATCATTTCACTTTGCACCCTACTCCTTCACAATTTTTGGGCTAATGGGGTGCATACATTAATGATTTTAAAAATGGGGTGCAAAGTCAAATATCACCCAAAACATGGGATGCAAACTCAAATTCTCCCTATAAATAAATTTATAATTCCAATGTTTGGTACACCAGAGGATTTATTCTGAAAGAATTTCAATTCCTTCCCTTGTTAATAAATGTCTGTGCCTAGCCCTTCTTCCACTTTCATTCCTTCATATGAGACATAGGGAATTTTTGACAATGACTCCGTTTATCTCTATTACTTTCTTCCCTGATCAATTCTGATTAAACTTATTCCAATCAACCCCTTATAACAGTGTAACATCATAAATACTCTTCCCCCACTTTATTCCTTTGAGCTAATCAAACAAGCTGTAGCTGTACCATTCGCTTGGGCCTAGTTCCCAATGCCTAGTCTTTGGGCAGCTCAGCAGGAACATCAATGGGATGTTCAGAGACAATTAGTGAAGAAAACATAGTGGCAAATTAGGCAGCATGATAGCCTGCACAAATTGCAAATGCATACCTCATCCCCATTATACAATCACAACAACATAATTGAGCGATGAAACATGACATAAGCTTAACGTAGAACCAATACAAATCAGATATCAAATAATTTAGCGGTATATTAGCAAATAATATTTTAGATCATTGCTGTAAAAAGAGTATACATGTCTTAAACTTGGTGGATGGGTACGGTACCTCTAATTTTGTCAAGGTACCAAAGTACTCTACAAGTAATAAATGAATAAATGTCAATATTTATAAACTACAGTTATTAAATAATCATACGGCTGAAGAAGTATCATTTTCTCCCTGCGGCGGCTGTTCTTCCATGTCGTCCCTAGAGGCTTCCTCAAGAGATTTGCCCTTTGATTCAGGAACCAATAAAGTGAAGAGAATGCCCAGAAAGTTGACTGCCGCCAATATCATCAGGGAATTCCTCACCCCGATTCCCGCGGGATACCCCGCATCTGCCTTCGACTTGTCTTTGGGCTGGGCCAGGTACAGGAACCCGAATGAGCCCACTATCGCCCCCATCTTCCCCGCTGCCGCCGATATCCCGTGGCAGGTGGACCGCAGCCTGGCCGGGAAGATCTCCGCCGGGACAACAAACGTAGTCGCGTTCGGCCCGAAGTTGGCGAAGAAGAAGGTCAACCCATAGAGTACCACGAACCAAATCTGTTGACCCGGCTGGGCCCAGTGGGCGTATGGGATGGCAAGCCCAAACATGAAAACGGTCATCATCGTGAAGCCCAGCAGTTGGATGGTGAATCTTCCGAGCCTGTCAATGGTGGCCACCGTCACCCAGTATCCCGGAACCGTACTCAGGAGTGCGATCAGAGTCTGCGCCCTCGCGATCTTGAACACCTCCCCAGCGGCGCTCATCGTCTTCGCCGCCGGAATCCACCCGACGGCGCTGAATATGTCCTTCTGAAACAGGTTCTGGCTATAGTACGCCACGTCCAGCAAGAACCAAGTGGTCGTCGTTCCCAGCAAGTGTAATCCATGGCGGCGGGCGAATTCCTTCGAGAACAACCCGAATGATAATGTCGGGTTTTCCGCCGCCGTCGTCGTCTTAATTTCCGCCTCTATATCCTCTTGCATGACTTTCGACATATCCGCCGCCGCCTTCTCGGCGTTCTTGGCGACGAGAGCCGTGTAGCGGGCGGTCTCCGGCATCTTCGCCCGCCAGTACCAAGTCAGTAGCGCCGGTAGTGAACCCGCCATCAATATGACCCGCCAGATGTAATCCGCCTGCGGAGGCATGGAACCAACAGGGTCCACCTCGTACGGCGGAGCCTTGAAAGCCCAGCCGAACGCGGCGGAGACTAGCATGGCGATGACTCCGCCGGCGAGCATCCCGAACCCCTGCATGGCGAAAACCGCGGCGATGAAAGCGCCGCGGGTCTTCTTGCTGGCGTATTCCGACATGATGGTAGCGGAGAGAGGGTAGTCGCCGCCGATCCCGAAGCCGAGCCAGAAGCGGAAGAAGCAGAGCGTGGCCATGACGGCTCTGGGATCGGACCCGAAAGAGAGGCCGGAGGCAATGGAGCAGCCGCACATGAGGACGAGGGTGATGCCGTAGACCTTCTTCCTGCCCAACTTGTCACCCATCCACCCGAAGAAGAGCTGGCCGGCGAGGGTGCCGCAGAAGGCGACGCCGTTGACGGCGGCGGAGACGTTGGGCGGCAAGGAACCCGGCTTGGGAGAGCCGGGGACGGTGTAGTAGAGGCGGCCGAGGAGCTTGGTGACGAGAGAGATGCAGAAGAGGTCGTAGGCGTCGGTGAAGAAGCCCATGCCGGCGATGACGATGGCGGTGAAGTGGTACCATTGGGTCTTGGCTTCGTCCAACTTCCTCAAAACAGTCAACCCTCCTTCCACCATTGTTACACTAGCTATACTACGTATGTATTTGATCTGTGCTTATGATCGATTTAGTACTCTGATCCCACGTATTTTGTGGTGAATTAGGGTAATCGATCCGGCCTTCTTTTATAAGCGCCTAGCCGACTGAAAACTTAAACTCCTTTTAGGATTAGGATTAGGAGTCTTCAAAAACTACTACTCCGCACTACAATTGGGAGATGATTTCAAGTAAACCCGTTTTAATTTGGAAACTTTTAATTAAAGCCGGTCTCCTTTTGGAGAGGTATAGTCCCAATTTTTTTTTTTTTGAAAAAAAGGTATAGTCCCAAAATATAAACAAGAGGATTATAGGGGAGTGATAAATACCGGAAAACCCCGGCTACGAGGACCAAAACCCTGTTCAATTCGATTAATTGAGAATCCTGAAATGGTCAAAACCCGGAAAAACTCGATTGATCCAGGCAAAATCTGATCCAAATCCGGACACGAAAAACTCGATAAATCTGGAAATGCCCGGTTTTGGCGGTTTTTTCCATTTTTAAAAAATTTAAAGCGTTTATAACGAATAAAATTACAATTTCAATACCCTAAAAAGAAAAAACTATGCAATATATTTATATACTACTTATTTGTTTAAGAATGAAAATGTGTCAAATTATAGACTACAATAAATGTCCAATAAAAATAATAAATATGGAGCATCACTATATATTCTAATTAGATCAAAATGGTATTTTGGAATAGGATTTTTTAACTTTTAAGTGTTGTGTAAGTATTATTATTAGTTGATTATTGTGAAATAACTACCTCAAATTTTATTTTTGTAGACAATTATATGTTTCTTATTGTTAAATTGTTGACCGATTTTATAGCGTTGAGCGGGTTGACCCGTGACCCATTCACGCGGCCGGGTCACTTCCCAATCCGGTTTCTTAAACATATATAAAAAATTGCTCCAATTAGATTTAAAGTTTGTTTGGTGATCATGTTTTTCAGTTTCATACCTATCAGCTAATTTTTTTTACCAAATACGTAACTTTTGATTTCACGTGCTGAATTATGTAATAACAAGAAAAACTAAGGTTAAAGTTACTTTTTTTGCTGTATTGATTGAAGTTATTGTAGAACGTCATTTTAGCTATTTTTCATATAATTTTTTGTTTATTTTATTAATAAAATATATTTTAAATATAATTTTTTCATAAATGAGCAGAATCGGCCAATACAGCCGATTTTGGTATTACCAAATGGCTCTTAATAATATAGATAAAACAAACCAACAGGACTACTTATATTTTACTCCAAAATAATACTTGATCTTATCAAAACTATAAAACTTCCTTAATTAGTAGTGAGTGAATCCTCTTTAATTTTAGAAAGCAAATAATGATGATCCTACTTATGCTCTTTCTCAGTTTCTCTAGGATAACATTGAAATTGAGTGAATTGGTTGAATCTGTTGAAATCGATAAAATGTTAGTTAAAGTGGTTGAATTAGCTGAATTATAAAAAATAGCTAAATGAATCCTCTATAATAACTTCAGCACGCAAAACAATCTCAATCTTACTTATTTTGATTCTTACACAATTTTGTACGCGAAAATGAAATTGGGGGTGTTTAATAAAAAATGGATCAATGAAGCTGATAAACTGAAATATGAATTATCAAACGGACTCAAAGTTTTAGTCCTATTCTAAGAAGAAAATAATGATAGTCCTACTGGACTCTCTATATTTTAGTCCTACACATATGAGTAATATTTAAGTTTTAAATGCTTTAATTTATATTATGATTTTCATACGGAGTATATGGGGCAAATTATACCATGGGATCGGTGCACCTTCTTCAAGGTGTACTCATCCCAAAACGGCATCGTTTTTGTTAAAAAAATCAAAACACATCTATCTTGGAGTGCAGCGATGGAATACGTAGCGATGGGATAATACCCCCTCTACTCTGCTTCGCGCTTCCGCTTCCGCCACCGCCAGTTCGCATATGGCCGTCTAGCTGCCGTCGCCCTCCTTGAGTTCCAATTTATGGTCTCAATCTGCAATTGAAAGGTCGTCTCCCTCCTGGTTATTATTTAGATATTCCGCTGTTGCTGTGTTGAACGCCGCCGCAAAATTCGCAACTCCATCTGTAGAAATTCCATCTCCAACGCAGATCCATTCAGGAGGTTGTTAACCTGGACGTTGTTGTTGTTGCTGGTCTCATATATTTGTTGTGATAAAGGATCCAAAGCTAATGGAACTTACTCTGCTCGCGATTGTTCTGCTATTGTTTCACCGACATAAATGTTTAGGGTGCACAAGGATGAAATGGTGTAGCATACTCTGTATATGAATGACTTTGTTGTCAGAAGGATCAATTCCTAAACGCGAGTTACATATATTTACACGTCAAGTTACATATTTTTACATGTAAAGTTACATATTTATATACGCGAGTTACATATTTATACACACGAGTTGCATTTGACCTGCCTGAACGCGAGTTACATATATTTACACGTCAAGTTACATATTTTTACACGTAAAGTTACATATTTATACACGCGAGTTACATATTTATACACACGAGTTGCATTTGACATGTCTCAACGCGAGTTACATATTTTTTTACGTAAAGTTACATATTTTTGCACGTAGAGTTACATATTTATACACATGAGTTGCATTTGCCTGATTGAACGTGAGTTACATATTTTAACACGTAAAGTTACATATTTTTACACGCAAATGTTAATATGTTAAAATTACATAGGCAATATTGGTCTTATTTGAAAGATCATGAAAAATAAAAAAATTTGATATAAATTTTATAAAAATCGGATCAAAAATAAAAAAATTACTAACATTTTTAAAAAAAGGAGAAATAAAAAATAACAAAGCCAAAATATACAAACTGCTACTTCGCTCTCCCAGGTATACCATGCGCACCGTGGGACGGTTGCATGGTATACGAACTGAGTATATGGTAAGTACGTAGATAATTCCATCATAACTAGAGTAATTTTTTTTCACCTTATTATCTTTATCCTCTAACTTTTTAAAAATCATTTAACTATTTATTTCACACACTGAATTACACTATAATCAAAATAAATAAGGTTCAAATTACTTTCATCACTATATTGACCAAGTTAATTTATTTTATTAATAAAATATATTTTAAATATAGTTTTTCACTTTTTCATAATTTAGCAAATTTAGTCGATTCAACTATTTCAACCATAATTTCAAAAATTTGAACAAATTTAGCTCTTTGAGTCAAAATTTCACAAATTTTAGCAAATGCAGACGACATAGTCAATTTTAATGTAATTAAAGAGCTCTAACAATAGCAAAACTATTGGTGAAAATATAAATTGGTTGGAATAATTATCAATTAGTTATACTTAGATCGAAAATATAAATTGGTTGGAATAAAACATTGAGGACTCAATAAAGATTGAAGAAGCATGGATTAACACAAGTCAAAAGATGAACCGAATACTTCTTCTATCTCTTCGGTGTTATAAAAACTAAAGCCCCGACTCCCTGAGTTAACGACTTTCAAATTTCAAAGTTGGGACTTGGGATCTTTCGTCTTCTTAAATAGTTTCAACTTCGGTGAGAACAATAAAATGTGATTATTTTGCGTGATTATTGTGCGAACAACAGTGAGCCCTGGGAGCAGCCTGGGCTGCCCCTATATCAGACCGGCTTTGATGAATACAAACAATGATAAAAAACAATGATAAATATTTTGTTTGAACAGTTAATCGTTTAAACTGAAAATGCCCAATCTGCTTCTTTATGGGTTGGTTCTGGAACTAGGTGAACTCCTAAACTTGCAGAGTAATAGGGTTCCCTAAAGGGAACATTGTTGTTTTACAAGCTAATTTCACAACTTTAAACTACTTATTTGACCATAAACTGATAAACAGTTGTTATATCAAAATTAATGAATATTCGTTAAAACTGCAAAAGGAAATTAAAGATAAGTTAGATGTGACAAATTCAATTAAATAATTGAAAAACACAACGCGTAACAAGTTACAAAATTAAATCATATGAGATTTCTCATAATGAACACGTAGTGGAAGACAAAAGTGACCCCATGTTAGCAACTTCCCATGTACAATACAACGAAGGCAATCCTACCTAGAAAATTTAACACCAATAGGGGCTGTGTGTCGCATCATACAGAGTATAGTATACAATGATGTAAACTTTCATACAAGACCAGGAAACCCAACTAAAAACAAAAGGAATGCTCGTACCCTGCACAAATCGATAGAAAGAATATGTAAACACATACGTAGTACGTAGTATATGTTTGTATGTTGCCCTACCCTTCAGGTGCCTGGCTCTCATTAGGATGGCAGTTCAGGTCCAACTGCCCCTTGCTATTCCCACGATCTCCGTTTGGATAGTCATCATTCTCTGGATAACACGCATGTTGCACCAAACTGGGTCCATCAATAGAAACATCAATGTCTGGAAGAGTTTTATCCTTCTCTTGCACAATATCTGCTTCACGTTCGGATTTTTTCTTCTTCTTACGCAGCATGAGAGTCTTAAACCGGCGTTTGACGGTCAAGCAAACAATACATTTACAGGTGGGATCATGTTTGCCCTTCCCGCTGGGTGGTTGGATGCAAACAATGCAAGTGCAACCAGGCCGATGCCGAGGATGCTTTGTGGTAGAAGGCTCGCTAGCCCCCAAGTCACCACCACCACCGCCAATGCTGTCATCTCCCAACACTGCAATACATGCTAACGCATCTAGGCCAGCATAAGTCTCACAATCATTGCCACTTTCCGAGACTCTTCCTCTTTTGGTTTCTCCTGGGAATAAATAGATAGGAAAAGAAAGTTACGGGATCAATTGGGGGAAAATAGCCAAACTTCGCTATCATCTAGCTACAGATTATACAACACAAGAGGGTACATGGTAAATCTGGATGTAGACTTCCATACATCGGGGTGATTTTACTTATGGGGGAGTGAGCATTTCATTTACTTAGTTCAGAAGTTTTTATTTCATTTCTCGTGTAAAACAGTCATCTCATGCAATACTAATTTTTTTTATTGAAGACAAAAACAAGGGGCCGGATAATGACAAAAACATCATTATATTACGAAAAGTTGAGATCATATATATGTAATTCATACCCTTGTTGCAAGCTCTATGGAATGAATCAAGTTGTTTTTTATTCATCTCACTTGCGGCAGAACAAGAAGATCTGAAAGCAAATGTCCACACAGTGAGTCAAAGCAGCAGACAACTTTTCCGTTCTTATTCTCTAAAGTTTTATTGCTACTAAACATATATCATAGTTATTTTTTAGCATAAGATTAATAAATAGAGATAAATTAGTACTCCATATAGGAGTATATAAAAGTCAATCCTGCCATCCCCTCCCTTCCGAAAAGTTCCCCATCCAAACAAGCCCCAAGACAAAAACATTTCACTGAGAAATGGAAAATGAAAGAAGTGGTCCTACATTTTTTCATTTAGTTGACAAAAGTGATTCCTCATATATCCACAACAATCCTTCCATCCATTTGATACTACTACATATCACAAATTACCAATAAGATACATATAAAAATGCCTCAACCTCTTCGCTATATTAAAGATATTAGGTGGGAAGGTATGAACCTGTTTGAGTCCCAAGTATTGTCAGAACAAGTCCAGTTTGCTGGAAGGAGAACGTGTGTAGGCAGCCTATGCCATTTGAAGCAACTGTCACATTGGGCCCACTGTCCCTGCTCCCTACATAAGATACTTCTCTGTTGAAATTAAAGGGTAAATTCCCCCTCAAAAAGAGAGGGCAAGTTAATGAACATACATCGCAGGCAGTGAAACTGTCTGAAACTAATTCATTCTTTATATACATTAACTTTCCGACTGGAAGGCAATCAAGAGGACAATGATTAGAATGTATATATATGTTTCCAATCTAATATTCTATAGGGGTGTTTTGTATAAAGACTAAGAAATCTAAAGATACAATTTTTTTTATTAAGAACATTAATCATATTTCATTTTCCTTTGCATTTTTTAGGTAAAAAGGAAACACAGGAAAATAAATTTTCTAAGCATCCCCCTCTCTCTAAATAAGAGGGTAGTAGTAAGATGTCAAAATGGATAAAAGGGGTCAAAACTCCGAATTAGACTTTTCAATCGAGTCTAGAGAGATGGCATTTATCATATATTACAATATATTTGCATCATAGCTCTCCTTACCCAGATGATGCAGTGGTGAAGACCGTCCTCTTTCCAAAAATGGGTGGTTCCTAGATTGCAGAAATATTTTGTTCTTCTAATTAGTGCCATATGAGGGTATCAAGAAGAAAGAATATGCAGTTAGTTGAGCCCAAAATATATGAGACTTACATCATATTCTTCAAAGTCACAGTCCTCAATCACAACAATGGTTGGATTAACATTTGGAGGTGGGCGGAGCAAATCCCGAGCTTCTTCACAAGTGATCTTCAGCTTTATAGCATCTTCAGTGTTTAGCAAGAGCCTCTTATTTTTGCTCCCTGTTTTCTTAATTTTCTTTTCGGGAACGATCACATTTATTTGCAAGGAATCATCAGTTTCTTTTCCTACATTCTTTTCATGTTTTTGAAATCCAGAAGCATCTTGTTAGAAAACTATTTTTTTGAAAGAAAAAGATATTCCCTTGGTCCCGTTTTAAGAGTCTTACCGATGTAATGAGGTATTAAATTTTTTAAGTTTCATCTTAAAATGTTTACTTGTGAGGAGTATCAGTGGCACAACCTTATATGATTGCTTGTATCTTTATAGTTGGTTCTTATGAGGTAACATAACATTCCATGTAAGATGGTGGCTCATTGGAGAAACCAATCTTACATGTTAGTCCTTATAGGGGCAGTAGCACAAGGCCCTATATGCTATGCTAGTTAGTATATTTATATTGAGCCAGTGTTGGATAGCTTAAAATGAGTCAAGATTAAAATTATTTAAATTAAAATTTTATAAAATTGTATGAAATATAAGCAAAAGTACTGACATGACTATTCAATTAGGAGAATATTGAAGTAAACAAGCCAAAAAAAGCAGTTACTCAGATGCCCATGGTACAAATGGAGTTACGAAGGAAATAGTGACTGGTAGAAGATGACATACTGTAGCACAGTTTTCAGTGGGAGCAAAATCTGGACTTTCAGGAGAACATCCACCATTGGCAATGGTTGCATTTTGAGAATCCTGTTTGTAATACATAAAAAAACCATTTTAATAGGATTCTAAAAAGTTAAAAATTTGAGACTTATTGTAAGTTTAATCTGAAGACCGACCTGTGTTTCAGCATAATTCACTGCCTTCCGGAAGCCCATAAATAGTTTCCTGCCAGGATCTATTCTACTGAAAGTAACTGTTGCAATAATGCAGAGTAACATGTAGACTTTGGAAAACAAACATATAATAACAACAGCAGGTAAACAAATATATATGTTCAAAGAGTTTTGGTTCTTAAATGACAGTGATACTCTACAATCTCCACCCATCTTCAGTATTTAGCAAATTAATAATTTACTCCCTCCATCCCAAATTTATAGCCCATTGATACGGAGCAGACGCGTGCGACCGAAGACGAAGAAGCAGAGGGCCGCAGGCCCTTGATTGTTTATCGCAGGCGGGGTCGGGAGAAGCCCACATCCGTGGGCCAGGCTGGATGAAGAGTTATTTAGCTTAATTCTTATTTAATTAGTATTGGCTTTTAATTAGTTTCCTAGTTTCAGTTTATTTCCTAATATCAATAATTTAGGAGTTTCCTAAATTATTTTCAGTTTATTTCCTAATATCAATAATTTAGGAGTTTCCTTTATCCAAGGATAAGTTGTCTATTTATACCCCCTAAGGGGCTTTCAAACTATGTTTTATGAATAAGAATTTGTGTGTGTTAAGCTCTTGAGTTTTGTCCACGGTGGTTACCGTTAATTGTTATTTTCCGTTCATATTAATTGGTCCGACCTGCCGGATCCCGTCCCGCCACAATGACAAGATCTCAAAGTGAACGTTTGCAAGAATTGGAGAACGAACAAAGTCGCACGGGCGAAGAAGTAACCCGACTGGGGGCCGAACAAACCCGAACAAACCAAACCCTCGAAGACCATGGCACGCAACTGGTGGCCATAAACCAGACACTCAGTAATCATGGTACAAAACTGGAGGAGATTGCCGCCTCACTGGCAGCGTTGACCCAGGCACTAGTACCGCCGATAGTGCCGAAGACAACCGCCGGTGGTGGAGGTGGCATCGTGGTAACCGCGCAGCAGGGCGACAACGGGCTGGGCAATCCAACGCTAACATTACTTCCGTCATTCGATGGGGGGGATCCCATCGGGTGGTTAGCACGGGCAGAACAGCAGTTCGAATTACACAACTCTCCCCCGGGAAAGAAAGTGGCTGCCGCAATGGTAGCTATGGAAGGAGGAGCGCTCTACTGGGCAACATGGCTCAAATCACGTAAGCCGAGTATGGGCTGGGAGGATTTTAAACAAGCCTTGGTAACCAGGTTTGATTCCCGGTATAAAGGGAATAAATTCGAACGGTTATCCGGAGCTAAACAAACAGGGTCCGTTGAGGAATACAATGTTCTTTTTGTTCAATTAGCAAGCCAAGTTTCGGGATTGTCTGATGATCACTATTTGGGTTATTACATGAGTGGTCTCAAGGAAGCAATCCGAAGCGAGCTACGTTTATTACGACCTGAGAGCCTGGAAACGGCAATGGAGTTGGCCGGGGATGTCGAGCACAATCTGGCCATTCAGAATGGAGGGAGAGGCGGACCAAATTTTAACTCAACCGGGTCTCGAATAAACAGCTATCCACGTCCAAACCCGGGTATGCTTTCAACTACGAGTAACGGCAGTTCGCGTGTCCAGGGGGGCAGCTTGCCGAAAACAACTGGGCCAATAGTGGGGACCACACCACCAGTAACCGAGACCACGTCCGGAACATTGGGGCAGGCCACGGAACGCTCCAGGTTTACTCGAATACCCCCAAGGGTTTACGATGATTTACGCGCCAGAGGACTGTGTTTCAAATGTCGGAAACCCTACTCACCGGGACACGAATGTCCATTAAAACAGTTAAGGGTGATGCTAGCAGACGACGACGAAGAGTTGGACTTACAGCAATATGATTATTGCGACATAACGGGGCAGGAGGAATTTCCGCGAGACGACGACCCTCCCGAGGGACAAGAGGGAGATTTTCCAGTCTATGCCATGGCCGGAATTTTCAGCCCTCAGACTATGAGGCTCCGCGGGATGATTGGGGGGTGCACGGCCACAGTCTTGATTGACAGTGGTGCCAGTCATAATTTTGTATCTTCTTCCTTGGTATCTCTATTACGACTAAAACAAGACAAGACTGGCAGGTTTGGAGTGCAATTAGGGGATGGGCATAGACAGGAATCCGAAAGAGTATGCCGTCAACTTTCCATAAACTTACCGGGATGTGCTATCAAGGCTGATTGTTTTGTCTTCCCGTTGGCAGGAGTGGATCTCATACTAGGAGTTGCTTGGTTAGCAACTTTGGGGGAGGTGCAGACAAATTGGAAAGAGTTAACCATGCAGTTCAAACTTAACGGCAAGAAGGTTGAGTTAAAGGGAGATCCCGCGATGTGCAAAAATGCAGTTAGTTTACGGTCTTTACTTAAGACAGCAGACGGAGAGTTCAGTGCAATTGTCCTCATCAGGGAAGCTAGTAAGGGGAAGGAAGCAACAACGGATTCACTAGATGATATCCTCAGTCAGCATACGGAGGTTTTTGCAGAAGTGCAGGGGCTGCCACCACGCCGAACTAGGGATCACCGTATCGAGTTGGAACCTGGGGCAAAACCAGTTTCAGTTCGGCCATACCGGTACGGTCATTTATAAAAGGATGAAATTGAGAGATTAGTCAACGAGATGCTTCAGGCCGGTATTATTCAGCCCAGTTCCAGTCCCTTTTCCAGTCCGGTTTTGTTGGTCAAAAAGAAAGATGGCAGCTGGCGTTTCTGCGTAGACTACCGGGAGTTGAATGAATCAACAGTGCCAGACAAGTACCCTATTCCGGTAATACAGGAGATGTTAGACGAGTTGGCCGGCGCTATGGTCTTTTCAAAGATTGACTTACGTTCCGGGTATCATCAGATCAGGGTGGCTGATCCGGACATCCACAAGACCGCTTTTCGTACTCACAGTGGGCATTATGAATTTTTAGTAATGCCGTTCGGATTGACTAACGCACCGGCCACTTTTCAAGCAGTCATGAATGATTTATTTCGGCCATACTTACGAAAATTCGTATTGGTGTTTTTTGACGACATCTTGGTATACAGCAGTTCATGGGCCGAGCACCGAGAACAATTGAGTCAGGTTCTGAGCATTCTAAAAATAAATCAGTTCAAAGCTAATAGAAAGAAGTGCACTTTCGGCCAGCCTCAGGTGGAATATCTAGGGCACATAATCTCGCAGGAAGGAGTAGCTATGGATCCGGCCAAAGTCAATGCAGTGATATCATGGCCTCGGCCGAAGACAGCCCGGGAGGTTCGAGGATTTCTCGGGCTAACAGGGTACTACCGGAGGTTCGTTACAGGATATGGACAGATCGCACGACCGCTTACAGGGCTTTTAAAAAAGGAAGTCTTAACTTGTTTCCGATGGACAGAAGAGGCCGAGGAGGCCTTCCGGCAACTCAAGAAGGCATTAACGGAAGCACCCGTGTTAGCCATCCCACAATTTGACCGACTGTTTGTGGTAGAATGTGACGCATCCGGAACGGGAATTGGAGCGGTTCTTATGCAAGAACGAAGGCCCATTGCGTATTATAGCAAAATATTATCTGACAGAACTTTATCCAAATCCGCCTACGAAAGAGAGATGATGGGATTAGCTCTGGCCGTGCAACATTGGCGGCCATATTTAATTGGTCGGAAATTCATCGTGCGCACCGACCATAGGAGTCTCAAACACCTGCTCACTCAACGCATAGCAACTCCTTCCCAGCAAGTGTGGGTAGCAAAATTATTGGGTTACGACTTTGAGATTGAATACAAGACTGGCATCTCCAACGCAGCTGCCGATGCTCTGTCTAGAAGAGGAAAGGAAGTAGAATTGGCGGCAGTAAGCATTCCAGAATGGATGGGTCTGGCCGATGTAGAGGAAGAGCAGCGGAGGGATAAGGTCTTGCAAGAAATTGTGGAGGCACTGGCTGTTGACCCGGCAAAAGCGCCAGGATATGAAGTAACAGGACGGCGGCTATTTTTCAAGGGCCGACTGGTCCTGCCAACTAATTCAAGTTGGATACCACGATTACTGGAAGAATTTCATGCCACGCCAACCGGAGGACATGCAGGGGCCTATCGTACGTACAGAAGACTCCATGAATGTATATTGGAAAGGAATGTTTCGACGAGTACGAGATTACGTGGCACAATGTTTGGTTTGTCAAAAAGCCAAATACGAGACTTTATCACCCGCGGGATTATTGCAGCCTTTACCAATTCCCAACTTAATTTGGGAAGATATTTCCATGGATTTTATCACTTGTCTGCCTAAATCAAAGAGGTATACGTCTATTTTAGTGGTGGTAGATCGACTGTCAAAATACGGACATTTTATTCCCTTAAAAAGGTCCCGTCACAGCCTGTTCGGTTGCGGAAGTTTTTTCTAAAGAGGTGGTTAGGTTGCACGGCATCCCACGCTCAATTGTTAGCGACCGGGACTCACTATTTATTAGCACATTTTGGAAGGAATTGTTTGAGTTGTCCGGCACTCAACTGAAATTTAGCTCGGCTTATCACCCAAAAACGGATGGACAAACGGAGGTGTTGAATCGCGTATTAGAGACTTACCTTCGTTGTTTCACAAGTGAGCAGCCGAGGCAATGGATACGCTGGATTAGTTGGGCAGAGTATTGGTATAATACCGCTTTTCAGACTGCAGCCAGAGTTACCCCATTCGAGGTAGTGTACGGACGGCCACCCCCATCTATTCGAAGATTTTTGCCGGGAGAAAGCAGTGTGGCAGCCGTGGCAGAGGTTCTCGGCAGCAGAGATGTTATGCTAAGGCGGCTAAAGGAGAACCTGCAAAAGGCTCAACAAAGCATGGCGACACAGGCATACAAACACCGTCGCAATGTGGTTTTTCAAGCTGGAGAAAAGGTGTTTTTAAAGGTAAGGCCTCATCGACAAACAACTCTATTTCGCCAACCATATAACAAACTGTCAGCAAAATTCTATGGGCCATTTAAGGTTGAAAAGCGAATTGGGGAGGCAGCCTATCGCCTGGCACTACCTGCCACTAGCCGTATTCACCCGGTTTTCCATACATCTCAGCTGAGAAAGGTAATTGGTGATCACCCGGTGGAGAGTGAGCTACCGGAAAGCTTGGAATTACCTGTGAGTCCAGTGTTCGAGCCTGAGGAAATATTAGCTACAAGGAAGAAGAATGACAAAAAAGAGGAATTGTTGGTTAAATGGGCTGGACAGTCTACGGACGAGGCAACTTGGATGAATAAAACAAGCTTCTTGAGTCAATTTCCTGATTTCAACCTTGAGGACAAGGTTCTTCCAAAGGAGGATGCATTTGATACGGAGCAGACGCGTGCGACCGAAGACGAAGAAGCAGAGGGCCGCAGGCCCTTGATTGTTTATCGCAGGCGGGGTCGGGAGAAGCCCACATCCGTGGGCCAGGCTGGATGAAGAGTGTAAAAGTATATTAGAATATACTTTAGAATATGCTTTAGAATATATTAGGAATATACCATATATAGTATTATTGTATAGCATCTTTTATAGGAATATTCTATCTTTGTAATCTATATTTATAGGGCCTTACCCTTCAATGAAATATACAGAAAATCTTTCATCCACTTTCAATATTATTCTAGTTTATATTTTAACATGGTATCAGAGCCATCCATTTCAGTTTAGTTTTCAAAATCCTTCTTTCTCTAAGCTCTTGATTTCAGTCCAAAGTTTTCAAGAATCTTCCGATCTTAGTCTCTTTCCAGATTATTTTTTTTTTCCCAGAACCTTTTTCCAAACCTCAGCAAACATCCTCACTCTCAGAACCTCAGCAGAACATCCAGTCTCAGAACCTTAGCAGAACGTCAGAAAACACTTTAGTTCATAACCTTAGTCCAACAACTGTCCCTCTGGTTCGCCTGCCGCCGTCGACCGGTGACCGGAAGTCCGCACGCCCAAATCACCGCGCGTGAGCTGCACGCGCGTGAGCTGCACGCGCGGTGAAGAGTTATTTAGCTTAATTCTTATTTAATTAGTATTGGCTTTTAATTAGTTTCCTAGTTTCAGTTTATTTCCTAATATCAATAATTTAGGAGTTTCCTAAATTATTTTCAGTTTATTTCCTAATATCAATAATTTAGGAGTTTCCTTTATCCAAGGATAAGTTGTCTATTTATACCCCCTAAAGGGGCTTTCAAACTATGTTTTATGAATAAGAATTTGTGTGTGTTAAGCTCTTGAGTTTTGTCAACGGTGGTTACCGTTAATTGTTATTTTCCGTTCATATTAATCCCATCCTTATAAGGAAAGCGATATATGGTTCATATAATTTCTCTGTTTTTTAAACAAATCTCAACCATATTGTTCATATAGCTTTCATTTTCTTAAACTATGTGTTCAGTCAAAGAAGGTAAAGAATTTAGAGGCATCTATGGGTACACATCTAGTTTTTCTAGACTAAAAAGGCTCATAAAATAGAAGGTAACGGCAATCTAATGGAAGTGGCCTCAATTCACTACCTTTTGGATTAATTAGGGATGCCACTCACATAATCTCCGTCACAATAGACCAGATAATAAGAGATTGTAGAGAAATCAAGAATAACCACTCATACAGTTAAATTATAAACTATTCCCTCCGTCCCGCTAAGATTGTACCAACTTTCCTTTTCGGTCCGTCACACTAAGATTGTCCCATACTAAATTTGGTAAATTTTGTGTGGTTATAAATCATTCTTACTTTATTCTTACTTTATCAATTCAATATCAACCACATAAATCTACTTTTATTAATGGTCGTACCACCTCCTCATGTCCCAATGTTAGTGGGACGGAGGTAGTACTAGTTTTACTGATATGGCTTTGAACTTGCAAGTGATTAATTTCTAGAGAATATTGTAATGCTTATAGAAAATTAATGCACCCAAGCACGGTAGGAAAATGAGACTTAAACCCAGTAGGAATAAGAAGTTTAAACCTTAAACCTATTCGGAATAAGAAACTTTAATACTACTACTAAAAGTCTAAAACTATGAAAATGATATTACCTTCCTACAAAAATGATATTACAATTTCTGTCTTTTAAGAAGTACATACACAGTAGGTAGCAAATTGTTCATGCTTTCCGTCTACTGAATAAAGGGCAACCTGGTGCACAAAGGCATCCCCGCAAGGCGAGGGTCCAGGAAAGGGTCCCACCGCAAGGGTTTATATGGGGCAAGCCTTCCCCTGTCAAATTTTGAACAAGAGGGCACTCCACAGACTTGAAGCTATGACATCTCTGTCACATAGCAACAACGCAACACCTTAACTGGTGTGCCAAAGCCCCCTTTCACTTTCTCTCTACTGAATAAGATGTAAAAAACATATGAAGAAAAAACACTCAGAGTAAATAGCATTAACAACTCTGGCCATGAATGTAATTGCTAACTGTAAGATGATACCTGTGTCACCAGCTTGTAATTGCATATTCTGTATACAGGGGGTAACGCCCTCTAGAACATACATCCTGCTGTTGTTATTGGGCCAAAATCTGAACTGAAATATCCACTCTTTCCCTTTTACGTCCTGCACCCTTATGGGTATTCCTTCGGACTGGGTAATATATGGAAAATATGCCTGCATAAACAGATTACATGAAGTCCTTCCTTCCACGCAGTGATGGACACCATAATAAACACCGAAATAAAATAAAAAACATACTTCAGCACATGCTTTGGGGATGACCAAACGACCAATCCGACCAGCATCACTGGCACTCAGAACCTTTTCGAACAAAGGCACTATACTGGATTTCAAGCTTAAAGTGAAAAAGTAAAGGTATAACAAAGTGGACTGCTTAAATGGAAGACGGACTTAATCCAAGAATGATTAGTGGTGGAACCGGGGCGGGATGGGTCAGTTTTTTGTTGGGACTACATACCGGATTATATTATTGTAGGAATGAAAGAAGGCTAGCTGGTCTGGGTTTTTGCATTTTAAAATCTGGTCGGGTTCAGGACGAATACTAAATCTAGACTGCCCAGAACAACAATTAAACTGATTTACTTGAAATTTCGGTTCAGTGCAGGTCGGTTTGTGGCTTTTAGTCAGGTAATCCCACCCCTCAACAACAACAACAACAACCACAACCAAGCCTTGGTCCCAAAAGATTTTGGGGTTGGCTAGCATGAATTGATACATGATAATTAATACATAATGGATGGATACTCTCCAGATAGTTTCTGCAGTTCTTGGTCTGTAATCCTGGGCCAATATCTAGGCAGGAACTGATTCTTACTGCTCCTCCCTTCAGACGATGGCCTTGCAACACCTGTCAGTGTAGATATTCCACATTTTGATTCAAACCCCGAACTTGAGCTAGCTTTAGGGGCCTTTGGAAAGATATTGTGTGCTGTCTGCCCTTGTTGGAATGGAGAAACCCCAGAAGAAATGGGTAGTATAGAGCCTGAATTGCCCATGGGTGTGGTCAAAAAGAAATTTAGAGATAGCTGATCCTTAAGTGTCGTATTCGGTATGCAACTTTCTGCCTTTTCAAGTAAAGAAGTTTTGGGAGATTGCTGGTTAAGGTTTGAAAAGCACAACCTGCTGACATCCATGGCAGGAATTATTGATTCCTCTTGTTTAATTTTGTCATTTTCAGATTTCTCTGTACTGTTTCCAAATTGCAAAAGCCTTCCGTTTTCAAAAAAAGGTTTGATCTGTTCTATTTTCAACAAGAAGAGTATGTGTATCTGCACTGTTCTTCATGGCGAATATACCACTAGGAGGATCCTCATTAGGTATCTGTACAAACAGTTATCATATGATCAATTCAAAAAAAAAAAGAATGCTGCTTATATGTAAAATCTAGTTCTTAGATGGCATGTGTTAAGATACACGTGCACTTTGTCGTGTGTGCACTCAAAATAAATATCAATACGACACTAATACGTAGTATAGTGTAGTAAGGTTTGTATCCACAGGGAAAGGAACACATTCTCTTTTTATAGAATTAGAAATAAGTAACAATGGGGGGTTTTTATGATTGGTTGATGAACTTAAATAATATTTAAGCACGAAGATGAACGAGTTATGTGGTTTAATTAATGAGAAGGAGACTTGGTTTTGCTTTTATCCACTTAATGAAATGTTCGTCGATCCCGGTTATATCTTTAACTATCTTCCTCTCAAATACTCAATCGAGGAGTATATCCAGTTCATCGAGGGTAGTTATTAATAACGAGATGCGTTCATTAATAAAACTTACTATCGAGTCAATATAGAACAAGTGCCGTATATTAACTTGATAGTAGCAATAAACTTAAGATGAAAACGATTGAGATTGATAACCTCAACACAAGCGGTTTATTTGGTTTAAACAATATAATTAATTCCTCTTGGCTTATTAACCATGAGAAGCATGCATTAACAATCCAAGTTTACTACCATTGAAAGAACCGAATTAATAACAAGCGTATTAACCGATTGATTCTAGTAATAATTAATACATGAAACAAAACTAGTTGATCCTTTAAGTAATGCTCAAGATATTAATATGGAATATGAATAGGTAGTAATTAATATTCAAGGAAGAAGATTAAAGAAAATAGCTCACAACTTACAAATCATTAAGCATCAAAGTAGCAAAATCAAGATGGAAGAGTTTAGCTCCTCATTTGGAGACTAAACATGATGAAAAATATAAAGAAAGAACTTGTCTAAACTGAGCTAAGAAGTATATGTGAATTGGTCTCTAATTGTGAAGGAAAGGGGGTGTATTTATGGGCTTTTTAGGGATGCAGTTCGGGTACTCGATCGGGTATATACAGGTACCCGATCGAGTATGTGTAGAAACTCGAATTCGACCCATACTCGATCGAATTCGGAGTATTATTTATATACATACCCGATTGAGTATGTCGGTGTACTCGATCGGGTATAGACACTCGATTGTGGTCAAAATCTTCCCTGCATGTTCCTTAGTCTTCAGATCCGATCCGATTTGAAATTTCAACAAGATACCCGATCGAGTATAGATGATACTCGACCGGGTATAGACCAAAAAATCAGGATCTTCCCTTTGTCTTGTGATTTTGCACCTTCCTTCCACTTTTGGGGTTCACCAACTGTCCTTTGAGTGATAGTAGACCTGTTTGAGCTCAGAATAAACCTAATCTAAACAATTTACAAGAATTTAATAAACTAAACTATTACACCAAAAGTGTGTAATTTCCAAAGTGAAAATCAATCAAAACTACTTAAAATCACAAACATGGAAATTACATGATTATCAACTCCCCCACACTTAGTTTCTTTACTCGTCCTCGAGTAAAGTCAAATGTTCACAAGTGTCAAGTCTTCCAAAGTTTCAACAAGATAAAAACACAAAGACCACCAAGGATAAAACATTAGTTTTAATGCTCAAATTGCAAATATCATCTTGGGTTTTATGGCCTTCTAGTGCTCATCTTCTCTTCTCCTCCTCTCTTCTTCTTATTCTCCAAAGAGATCAAATGAGTGCCTGCAAAAACAAATATTTCTCTCATTTTGCCTAGGAGCCTTTTCAAGTTTTTATCCTAGCATCTCTTTTCATTTTCCATTCTCCCCACTCACTCATTTTTTATAAGCCCTTTTTGCTTAGATTGCCCATTTCGTTGGGTTTTCAACCTAACTAGCATTTCTTTTCTTTTTTTTTTTTTTTGTTTTTTTTAAAGAAATTTATACATAGTAAAAGGTAGAAAATAAGATTACATACCCATGATGAGTCTCCTCCCCACACTTATGTCAAGCACTGTCCCTAGTGCCCACCATCGCCACCATAGTAGCTGCCTCCAAAGCTCCCGTCGCCCATTGAGCATCTCCGCCGTCCCCGCCATCATAACCTCCACCCCCGGAGCTAGATCCTCCAAAGTTACCCCAATGAGTGGGGTCATACCAAGAGGGAGGTGGGGGTGGTTGAGCCATAGTATGGAATGAGCTTTGATGCGCCATGTAAGAGTACATAGGTCCATAGAACCTACGTTGATCTTCTTCGTACCTCCGGTTGTCTTCGGCCCGTTGCTCCTCAAGTCTTTGAAATCCCGCCCTTTGTTCCTCCCGATACTTTCCAACTTTGTCGGTAATTTTGTTGAATCCTTCAAGTAGTTGTTGGAAGTAATCGGGTGGTGGAGGGACTTGGTTTTTTTCGGGGATGTCCGCGTCCATGTCTTCATGATCATGGGGTCCGGCATAAGGCCCGCCCTCGGGTTGGTCTTGTTGAGGTTCTTGGAGATTTGGTAGAAGGGCGTGTGGGAAGAGGTAGTGGGGCACCTCTACCTCCGATTTGTAGAGTATTTTGGGGAGGTCTGGGCTAGGCATTAGGAAGTGTTTGATAGGTTGGAAGTGTATGATCCAGTTGTACATGTTTTTCGATTGTTCCCCATCATAAACCGTATGGGAAAAAGCTGTGCATCCCGAACGGCCTAACCAAGCCATATCCATCAAACAATAGTCGGGTATAGGAGAGTTATCTGTATACCCGAACTTACTCACCAAGTGCATGATCACCCCACCCACAACAATGGCCCCTCTCGCTCTGCTTTCCTTTTTCAAATGTGCCCACATAAGATTGCACAGATTAAAGTCCACATGACGACGGAATAAGGCTATAGACATCAAACATACGTCCCCTATCCTAGTGTGCTGGTTGTTGGGGCGCCCAAGCAAGCAATGTGCTAGAAATTTTAAGAACAATCAAAGGACGGGGTGTTGGACATTACTAATATACAATTGGGAGGAGCTGAATTTCACTTCCCCGGTCATCTTTGTCCACAGGGAATGCCCGAAAACAGTGTTATCGGAGATGGCTCTTTCGTAGGGAACGGGGATGCCGAAATGTTCGGCAAACTCAAGTTTTGTTATTGAATAGTTTTGGTTAAACAGACCAAACTTGAGTCTATCATCCCTAAAGTCAGCCTCATCGCTTTCAAACTGCACCGAACTCATGAATTCATAGATAATTCGTTCATTAGAGTTGTATTTCATTTTGAAAATACGGTCCATGCCCAACTCATGAAAGAATTTTCTAGTACTCTTATACACCCCTAATTCCCGGAGAGCATCATGGCATAGAAAACGAGAAGGTTTTACTTGCCTTGTCATGGTGGTGAGGAATTGAGCTCGGTGTTCGTTGTCGGCGGGTATGAGGTCCTCGTAGCCCGGGATGGGTGCCATAGCATTGGAGCTCTGCCCTTTGTCCTTCCTTGGTGCCATTTTTGTAGATTTGGAGCTTGAAATTGGGAAAATCCGAAAATGGGTGAGGGTTTTCGGACTTGGGATTTTTTGGGGAGAAATTGGATTTTGTGGGTATGGGTGTGTAGAGGAGAGTGAGGGGAGTGTTTTGGTGGTGGAATGAGGTGATTTGATGGAGAAATGAGGGAGATATGGTAGAGAGAAGGTTTGAAAATGGAGGTTGGGGAAGAGGGTTTCGAAATTGGGTTAGGGATTTGGGGAAGATGAAGTGTTTTGGGGTTAAATCGCAGGTGTACCCGATCGAGTACCACTATATCCCGATCGGGTACTGGAGACAGGGCCCCGAGTATGTTGGTTTTCTAGTAATACCCGACCGAGTATAGGTGGGTACTCGATCGGGCCTCAGAGACAGGGGTCTGGTGGTGTTTATTATCCGGACATACCCGACCGAGTATGTGTTAATACCCGATCGGGTATTCTTATTTGTGCACATTTTGAGCTATGTACTCGATCGAGTGCTGAAGACAGGCTTTTTTTTGTTTCTCCTTTCAGTTCATACTCGACCGGGTAAAGAAATATACCCGATCGAATATGCCTCCATTTTTGAAATATCTGGCTACTTCGATCGAGTACTGAACTCGGGTTCTCTTTTTCATCAATACCCGACCGAGTATGTATGCATACTCGAGCGGGTATATCCCCAGGTATTTTGATTTTATTATTATTATTTGTTTTAAAGGAAACACACACACACTACTGAAAAATAATGAAAAGAAAACATACCTTGCTTGGGTTGCCTCCCAAGAAGCACCTCATTTAACGTCGCGGCACGACGCCATGATTGTGTTCATTCTTCATAGATTGGATCGAAGAGATCCATGCATTCAACGCTTTCTTTTTGGAAACATTCAAGGAACGGTTTGAGTTGATGTCCGTTAACCTTGAGGATTTTGCCGGTGTCGAGTAGGGGTGGGCAAAGTGGTTCGGTTTGACCGAACCGAACCGAACCGAACCGAAAAATTGAAGTTTGGTTTGGTTTGGTTTGCCCTGGTCAAACCGTTTGGTACTAATATTTACAAACCGAATGGTCCGGTTCGGTTTGGTTTATAAACCGGAAAACCGAATGACCCGATCGGTTTACTCATTCTAAAAACGAAGCATATGTATATGCTCTTATGCGGTCTGCGACTCTGCGCATCTACGGACTTCAAAGTTCAAACTTTCAAAGCTGCGCACAAGGCCACAAGCCACAAACCCTACCCTCTAATCCCTCTATCATAATATCGATTGCAGAACACTATTCGGTATTCCCATGCCGCCTTCATCTCCTTCCCCTTATCTTAACTGTTGAAACTTGGAAGCTTGAAATCTTGGGTGGTCAGTGACTTAGTGCAAGGTTTTCAAGTAAGGTCAATAGACTTATTTGTTTACATTTCTTCTAATTTGATTTTCATTCCATTCTTTCTTTAAAGTAGAACACCTCATGGAGAGGAATCGAAATTGTCCTTAGACTAGGGCATGGACTGTACATACATTAGAGCATGTTTGCTCTCACTGCTATTACTTTTGTTTAT